AAACGCCAACCAGCTGCAAATTAAAAAAATTATAAACGAAGTTTGTAAAATGTGTTTTTGAGCAAATTTTAGTATCATATCTCAAAAATTACTGACTATAGATATTGTACCCTTGTACCCCTGACATTTTCCGCCCCGAAATGTGTATGATTTAGCCCTATTTTTAGTTCCTCTATGGTATCGTAACAAAGCTTGCTCGTAAATATCTTTAACAAATAATAGGCCTTTACTTTCGAGCAAGGCCAACTGACAGTTTCAGGATCAAATCTCCACCAACACGAAGACAACACCTTTGCCATCTTCTTATCATCGAGGGCAAACTAGCGGCCGGTCGGTTGGGATTCGAGCCTTACTCCTTTGATCTGGGCCTGCTTGGTCGAGTAGAGAAAACGACCGGTTCTACAACGTCGTGGCTCTTCTCGGGGTTTGTTCATAATGGCTCCACGCTGAAAGGGGCTAACTATCTCAGAAACTGACTTCTTTCTCGCCTGCTTTCGACACTCGAAAATGTTCCACCCTGCTGCAACTGAGCGCGAATATAATTGTCGTAGAGAGGCATGAGCATCAAATATGTTTTTTTTACTTGTGCAGAAAATCTGGGTTTCGAAGATCCCCTTATGCTTAGAATCTCAGACTGTCATCATTGCCATGTCACAATGCCTCAGGCGCTAGACGTTTGCCCTAGCCTCGCGCCAGCCAACGCCATCAGCATGACTCATCGCGACAATAAATGGGCCATCGATCGATAGAGGCACATGCATGCCGCCGTACTGGCCCCGCCGCCAGCATTCATTTTCAAGGTCATAAGCTTCAGTCGCGTTGGCGAGGGGGCCATTTTTTTGTCCTGCAGGTTCGATGACGCATGGTCTGACAGAATGGGACAGAGTTAGTGTGAGAGTGTCCAAAACTTACACAGTTGATGAAGCAGATTGTGCCAGTCGCAATGCTGTGACTAACAATCCTCATGACCAAAAAAATACGCCTTGGCGAAGTGACGGCTGCTCAACTTTCAATTAAACCTCGCTCGTAATTTCAACCCGAATCGATCCTGCCTCGACGGTAAAGCCAAAATACGTTGGCCATCTCTTCGTGGAGGTATTTTTAGCGAGTAGGTTTAGGAAAAAATCAATGGATCGCAAAATAACGGCTAGGTCGCACAAAGTGATGATGAATTTTTCGACAATGAGACTGAGGTCCACTTTACCTTTTAGGAGGCAAGTCTAAGTGGAATTCAATGGCAGCGTAAGGCCTACTTTTGTCCTTCATTACCTTATTCGACCTAGATTGAATACAGCTTATTCAAAATTCTTTGCTGGTCCTCAAGGCTGGTCGAGATTGCAAAAAACCCAGTCTTCGTCTGGATTATGTTGAGAAGTGTCTCAGGAATCAATTATTTTCACAGGAAAATTGCATTTCCACTCGCGCAGCTGAATACTGAAAACCCCAGGCAATATGATGGGATAGCAAGAGCCTAATTGGAGGTTAATTGATGAATAAGCCTCAGGATATCCTTTCATTTCTCAGCCCGGCTGGAAGGTACAACAATTACGACTTCATCTGAAGGAGCGAGTGTAAGTGATTCGTGAATTGACGTAATCTGACAACTAAGTAAGATTTCCTTATATTTATGACTGAAGACTTCCGTGTATAAGTCAGATCCATTAGGGTCACCGGATGGTGAGTTAATGAACCTCATTATACCATTAACGAATCTTAGGAGGAGTCGAAAATGTGGTCCTGTTTAGTCTGGATGAGATGGGTTTTGGGGTTGCAAGAATAAGTACAATTCAACGAAACTGTGAGGCATTCTCTTCTCATGGTTTGGGAAAACTCAAGTCAGTTTGATCCACCCAAGGAGACCGAATTCTATTTAAAAAATTACTGGCAGTCTCGAAGCCTAGTTTTATTAAAAATGAAGCGATAAAGATGCCGACTTCGAAGTACCGATATAACGACTCATATTATATCTTGCTGAAGACCACACAGAGTGGACCTTGGTTAGGACGCCTTAGCATCTGTATACCTGAACAAAAGCTGGTTTTCGAAATAGCCCAAAATAGTTTTTTTCCAGTGGGCTTTTAATTAGAACGATGAGATGAGACTAGTGGAGTCGGGAGTTAATAAATTAGCGCCAAGTCAAATCGAAGTAGTAGGATCGCTTCGC